GCAATCTTGTCTCTAAGCCTCTTGTAATCTATATTCGTACCTTCAAACTTTCATATCAAATGGAAAATTATTATCTCCTTCGTTACCTTGTGGAATTAAACAAATAATAGTTGTATCCATGTAAGCTAATCTATATAAATGCGATTGTATAGTATTGTAACCTCGCCTAGTTGACTAGCTTGCTATTTTTCTAGCCTGTCCCGAGCCCGAGTAAACAGGGATGGTTGGGCGTTGGGCTAGCAACGCTACACCACTAAACCTATCAAACTGCTTCAACGTACAGAAAATATAATAAAAATATAAAAAATTCAAAGAACGATCGTATTGTTCTCTGGAATCAAAGAGACGAAATAGTACAGCGGTGTATCGAAACCCTTCGAGAAGCCAGTCAGCCAGACAGTGTCTTCTCTGGATGAAAACAAGAGTGAGAATGGACACGTAGATCGCCCGTACAAGATTGGGAAGGATGCTCGGGTTGCCAAAGAGATGCGAAGATACGGCATAGAAGTGCTGGGAATCTGCGAAAGCAGACGAAGTGGATGTGGATTATCAAAATTGTCAACTGGAGAGTCAATAATCTACCCCGGTTAATCAGACGCCAGCCACAAGGGAGTGGCTTTTATTATATCACCAGTGGCAGCCAGAGCCCTAACGCAGTGGGAACAAATTTCATCCTGCGGGATCATGACAGCAAGATCACAATCATCCAATGGTACGCATAATGCTACAAACAACACGAAACAACAGAAGAAGGAAGAGTTTTACAGACAACTACAAACAATAATGGACGACATGAATGCCAGCTGAACTGGGAGCAGATAATACAGGAAGAGAACTTATCATGGGTCGAGCTCTTTCTCGGAGAAATGAATGAGAACAGAGAAACATACACAGACTTCTCCGCTTTCAATGATTTGGTGATCGGAAGCAGTGTTTATAAGCACAAGGATATACACAAAGCAACATGGATTTCGCTTGACGGACACACCTCAAACCAGATAGATTTCCTCTGAATGCTGCTCAAGGAAGTGGAGACGCAGCTAGTCTGCTGGGTACAAAGTCGAGAAGGGGGGTAGATCTGGGCTCAGACCATCATCTAGTTCAACCAACCTTCAAGGTGAAGCTGAAATCCATTGAAACTACTAGAGACAGGCCGCAATTTAAGTTCAACATGCAGAAGCTGAATGACGAAAATAAAAAGGATGCCTTCAGTATACAACAATCAGATCAGAGCAAAGTCGGAGACACTACATGTTACCACCGAGGAAGAACATTGGAACTCTCTGAAGGAGAAGCCGAGTTTAATGTACACTGCACTGAATAAATAAATGAAGAGTGCTAGGAAACACAAAAGACTATTTTACGACACACTGGCTGGTAGGGTCATTTACCGCATACCAACAAATTTCAATTTCGTCTTAAAAGCTCAACACTAAGTATTGCTGAGACTCGCTGTTGGGATCCACATTAAGAAGCCTAATTTGTGCTTCCAAAAGAAGTTAGTTCAGACATTATCTTTACCTTGGCCATCTAGGTTTGAATGATCATGAATTTTCGTGGAATTCTCCTAATTTTAGTTGACATTCTATTTGTTACTATATCTTTATTATTATTAATATTATTATTATTATAATTTAAGCATCTTTAATGAATTTTAATTCCATTGGTCTTACTTTACGAATCGATATTATTTAAAAACACCAATATTGTTATTGACTACCAATCTAGAATATTCTATGTATATAAACATATATATAATTGCAGAGCCAGAAGAGGAAATTATCGAAAAGGATATTCTTTGCTCAATTATTTTGTGTTTTATTAATGTCATACATAGAGAGTCGAAGAGTCGCAGGCGAAAACCAACAAACTGGCTGAAGAAACAGCCATAGAAGACAGGACTCCGAGTGAACATAGAGAAGACGGAGGTGAAGATAACCCACCTACAGCAGCAACAACAACAACCAGCACCAATCACCATCAACGGGAGAGATTCAACAGACGTTACCTCTTTCGTTTATCTAGGAAACATCGTCTCACTACAGGCAGCCGAAACGGATGAACATATTGAAGTAGCCAGAATTGGAAAGGCAACTTACGCTTTTATCAACTTGAAACCAGTTTGGAAATCTTCTACACTCAGCATAAAGAACAAGATTCGGATTTTCAACACTAATGTCAAGTCGGTCCCTCTATACGGGTCAGAAACTCGGCCAAAGAGTCACGAAAAGGATTTCCGACAACCTGTTGCAGACTTTCATCAACAGCTGCCACCTTCGCTGAACGGCTCCATTGTGAAGATCGAATGACCAGAAAGAATTAGTAACAAGAAACTATGGGAAAAAACCAATCAAGAGCTGACTGCTCAACAAATATGTAGGAGAAAATGGAGATGGATCGGATGTATATTGAGGAAACCGTTGGATGACATCGCTCGAGTCTAATCCAAATGGGAAGCGACAATTGGGTCATCGGCGCGACGATGACATGGAGGAAATCGTGTGAGGAAGAGATGAGTGAGCTTGGTCGGTCATGGACCTAGCTGCAGAGGACGCAGAAAACAGAAAAAAGTGCAGATGTGTTGTTGAAGCGAGCCCCATGTACACTCAGAAAGCAAGAGAACAGTAATAAATAATAACAGTTATCAATTCCTAAAAATGACGTCATTAATTAAGGAAGGTAGATATCAGAATGTTTCTACTCACTTAATCCGTTTCCTTTTTCTCTCGCCACTTTCAGACGGCTATTAAAAGCCTATGAATTACAAACACCCTTGATACAAAATCATTCCAGATAACTAAGCCTACTATTCAAATAAGTGACTTAAGCTTCATAGAAGTTAACACCATAAAAATAATCACCTACACTAACCCCAGTGACAATGACTCAACTACTGGTCGTTTAACAATATTTATCCAGCTGTTATTCAAGGGTAATGACATTTCCAAGTCTTCAAGCTTATGAAAGATCATATGTTTGGTGTATTGCATTGGTTTACGAAAGCGAAGCAGTCCCGTTTGCTCACCTATATAGCTTGGCAATATAGCATACATCTCTTTTTTTCATTAATGTTTTACAGTAACCACCTTCTGTCCTATTTCCTTGAGTTTCCAGTGGAACATGAGCTTCAAAGTTGGTGTTGTTCTCGCGTCATGGGATGTGATTGCTAACCGCATGCCTAAACATCCCTTTTCACTAGGATTACTACAGACCAAGCGAGATTAAAGAGTGAAACGGCGGGGATTCAACCCAGACTATTACTACAACTACTGATCGTACAAGCATAATAACATCTGGAAGTCCTCAACCCAGTGGAAGGTTGCATAACCATACCACTGGCGCATCATGTCGATGGACGCAAACAAAGGTTTCCCCTTGGTGATATTTTACAGCCAAGTTCATATTCTATCTCCATTGATGTTAAACAATAATTTCTTTCCATTACCATACCTACAGAAGGCTTTATGCTTGAGCTTTAGCTGTGCAGATTGAAGCTGCTTGCCTCATGCTCAACCTTCCCGTCTTACCAGGCTAACTGATGACTGAGAAACTATGCAGAATTTAGAAATGTGCAGCAACCAGGAATCGAACCCAGACCGCCTGCGCCGTCGTCGCCAATCACCCTACCATTACCACACTAGCGGCATATACAAAAAGTAAAGTCCAAGAAATCCCTTATCATGCGGTTGTATAAAACAAAAATAATTGTGAATAACTTAGAACACATCAGTGAAAACAAGTAAAGACTTTATTTTAAAGATTTATTGATCGCAAATTGAACACACGCACACACACAAACTTGAGGAATTTCTGGGCGAACACAAACAAGCCACACATACACACACACCATATATCTTAGTTTATTTAATAGATAACTTCTTGACAAGCAAGCACTTGATAATAGAAAAAAGCATACATCATTATGATATGACCATTATATGAAACCAAAACATTTAAACAAGAATTTCAATTCCCCCTTGGAATCGGGATTCACACCACACCACACTCCTCCAATGGTGAGGCACACGTACATGCACACACACGCATTTGTGTGCACCCAAACCCTTGGGGGGGGGCACAGCAACAACCTTACTAAAGACTCAGAGAGAGAGAGAGAAAAAAAGAAGAATTAACTGAAGAATTTAAATTGAACGGACGACACACATTCACACACGGATACATTTTTGTTTGAGATGACTTGGCGCACAAAATAATTTGGCAAGTTTCACAGTTGCAAAAAGCTGAGCTAGCCTCAAACACACACACATACACACAATAATAGTATTAGTAATAATAATAATAACGACAAAGAAGTGAAGGAGAATAACAGTATAAGCAGTAGTACTAACAGAGTAATTCACCAGAACACAAATAGAACAACACACGGAAAATCACCTTCTTCTTAAATCTTTCTAATTTTTCTGTTGTTTAAAAAAAAAGGAAAAACACACAATTATTGTTGACATAATTTAGAAAATAAAGAAGAAAACAGGAATGAGTGGAAAACAAAAAGAGGCATTATTATTATACTGTGTGAAATTTCTCTTTATTTTTTCTTCTTTCCCTTGAATGAAAAACCAAGGTCCCTGGAACCAGCTGAGTATGTTTTGTAGGTTTGTTTGGCTAGAAAATATTCCTAATTTTAATGATGCAGAAGAGATGAATATATGGCCGAAACAACACAATGCTCATAGTAAATGGTGACGATTAAATGACACCGTAATGCTTTACTGGATTATTATTATTTTTTAAGTTTTAATTATTATTCATTCATCATTGTCTGTAAGAGCAACAAAAAAAAGACGAAGAAGAGGTACGATGCAACTTGATCAAAACACGCTTAGCAGTGTGTTTCATGTAATAAGAGGCGACGGAAGAGAAGGAGGAGCAGGAGAAGAAGGGGTGAGGATAAACGGACTATCCAACTGCTGTGCTATATCTGTGAAAGAGAAGAGAGAGGGAGAGTACAGCGACAACAACAAAAATCTACAAAATAAATTCTAATACTTTTCCTTTGTTGTTGTTGTTGCTGCTGACGATAATCTAAAGAAAAAATAAACAAAAACACACGATTATGCGGATACAAAAGTAATGAAAAGAAAACAACAAAAAAAACACAAAGAAGAGACAGAGAACAAGAATAAATCGAGACAACTCAAACTGGAAAAGAATAACACGCATGTGCGTGAGTGCTTGCGTGTGTGTACAACATGGTGAAAGAATCGACAAGTTCAGACCACATTGGAAAAAAAAGCAAAAACAAAAAAATAGTAATTATTATTCTACCACCACACCACCAATGAAGCATCATTACACAATGTGTAGTATATAAAGAGAAGATTCACCAGATAGAGGATACTCTTCATTGATTTGTGAGCAGTTATGATATAGATATGTTAATAGAAGAGAGAAAAAAACATTAGATTAGATAGATCCATGGTGTTGTTGCTTTTTTGGAATAATAATAATAAAACGCATATGTAGATATATATATGTGTATACACAACCAAATTGTTTATTGTTGATCTTGTCTGTTTGTGTTTTTTTCGTTATTGAATACTATAAAGAAATACTTTGATTGTGTCTTGTGTGTGTGTATGTGTGCCAGCGAGTGGGTGAGTGGTTGAATGACTGTGAATCCACTAGGCATTCCTTTTATTTCTCTCAGCTGTGTGTATATTAATAAACTCTGAAGAAAGCGTTGAAGAATCATTCTCCTCCTTATCAACAGCATCGTCATTGTCATTATCAGCATCATCATCAACAGGCATGTATATATATGTTGTATACATAACAATTGTAAATAATAACAATAAGACTCAATTGGAAGCACACATGTGATATGAAATATAATGGCTAGTCTGTTTATAATTAGGAGTTAGTTAGCACAGGCACAAGAAAAACATCACAAAATACATTTGTATGTATGTATATAAGTTGGATCCCTGGAAATGTTGTTTTTGCAAAGATTTACTACTACTTTAGCAGCGCGCATATATCGAGAGTGAGAGAGAGGGGGTAGCAGTATCATTAAGACATAATAGGGAATAATATAATATCCATCCGTTGTTCATTCATCAAATAGAAAAAAAAGCGAGAGAACAACAAGAAGGAGGTGGTGACGGATAACAACGAGACTAAAATGACATTCATCACTGTGAATCAGTACTACTGACACTGGCACCATCACCCACAGATAATAATAATACCCAGAAATGGAATGAAAATATTGACTTTTTAATATATGTATAAACAACAATAGATGCTCATTTTTGATATTATTAGTGAAAGTACTACAACAACAACAACGACAAAAAATCGCTCTCTGATCACAGGTTGAAATCAATAATAAACACACACTCAATGTGTATATATAAGAAGAGTTGGTTGAAAAAAAAAATGTGTTATTGTTTTAACTACACAGGTTAAATAAAACACACTTTTAAAGGCATTATTATTTTCTTATTTTTACTATTTCAGTAGAAATTGGAAAGAAGAGACGGGAACAAAAAAACACAAGTATGAAAGAAGAAGAAGAGATACAGAGAAAATTTGGCAACACATGTATAGAGATATATATATATATATATAGATATATCTTGTATAAGTACTTTCTTTGCACCGGAATGAGGTAATAAATTTATAATAAGCAGAGACAACAGTAGAAAGATGGGGGGGTGTAAAGATGCATGACTTCAGTTAAACATACACACGCACGCACACCATACGATACTATATCCTAGTCGTTGTGATGGATGACATAAATCGACTATTTGATGATACACACATAGAAATACATAGATAGATATATGTATAAATGATAAATACACTTTAAACGCTTTGAAGAAGAAAGGGAAGAGTGACCGCAAAATCAAGAAAAAGAAAATAAGTATACAATCTAAGACTTGTTGGTATTCATGATAGGACGACAAAGAGAGAGGAAAAATGCAATCATCATTACTATAAAGGACATGAATAGTAAGTAGCATAACTCGTAGAAAGACTAATTTCGAAATGGATTGTAATGGTTGGGGGGTAAACAGCCAGAATTATTATTATTGTCATTATTACTACTATAATTATTATTATTTTTATTCAGAATTCGAAAACACAAAAATAGACATGTCTGTATCGAGAAATGGAAAGTCTCTAATTTGCTTAAACAACATTTGACTCAAAAAGAGATGTGAATGCGAAAAAATATATCGGTGGACGTGGTCGTGAAGGAGGAGGAGCAGTAGTAGGAAAAAAAAGCGCAGAAGAAGACAACGATTTTGAGCTGAAACTAACTAGACACAATTTGAAAAATCTAATCATGTTTGTTTTGTTCCTTTGTTCTTTGTTTTCCCTTTTTCCACGGGAACAATACACGCACACGCACATACACCATTGTGTGCTAGAAATAATTAATGATAACCATAACAACAACAATAATAGTAATAATAATAATAATAACAATAATAAGATTGTGAACTTGAATGCAATAAAGTCGATCAAAAAATGGTTCGTGAATGCTTATACACACATTCATACATATGTATATATATAAATGGCCATTTTGTGATTGGAAATGTATTTTCGTATTTACTGTTTATGATAACAATATTGATAATAAAGAGGAGAGTGGGGTTGACTTATAAAAAATAACTGAACACCATATAAGGATAGGAATAAAGAGAAACACCCGAGCAAACAGGCATACACACGCACAGCATAATAAAGAACCATATATATGTATAGTCTAGACAAGACAAAACCACTGAAGAAAATAAAAGAAATACACGTATAAATTTACGTATGTATGTATGCGCATGTATATATAATTTCCAGTTTAGATATGCACGCACAAGAAAAAAAAACTGGGACTGAGACTACGGAAAAAATATGATATATATATATATCCATCCAATTTTATCATTTCGAAGTGGAGGAATTGAATAATGACCCACCTTACAATAATAATAATTGTTACACAACAACACTATTGGTGGTGGTGTTGTTGTTGATGTCAACAGTAGCAGTGTAATAGTAGTTAGTGGTAAATGGTGAACAAAGTTCAATGTGTGCGCAACAACTTTGTCAATGGAACAGATTATTATTATTTTTGTCTAACTACTCCACTCTACTCTACAGCACATGTCACAGTATACAAATACACATACACACATAAAAAACACAGATAGACAACAATAGAGTATAAACATACATTAGCACTAAAATATGAGAAAATAAAAGGTTGATGGAGAGGGGGGGTAATGCTATTTATTCTTCATCCCACAGAGGTAGGTGTAAACAGACGGCAATACACACAAACACACAGAGAGAGTTGATAAATTAATTTTTTTCAAGGGATAAAGGAGGAACACATACACATATATAGGGTATATATATTGCACCGGTCTGAGTAGCTTCTCTCTTGGTGTATATTTTTCTTGTCAAGGAGACAAAGGCGATAGCTGGCCGGATGGCTGGGGGCAGGCGAAAAGGATCAGAGTACATAATTAATAAATATGCGAATTCAGGAGGGATGAAACGCATACAGAGACATCATTAAGAGAACAAACACACAACTTGTGTGTGTGAAGAGTAAAGAGAGAAAGAAAGAAAGAATACACAAATACAATGAGCACATAACACACGTGTAACACATCACAGTTGGAGTCTTTTCAGCCCAAAAAGACATGATCTGTGTATGTATACATATACTACTATTTATATAAGGCGGAAGAAAAGAACACAGAGTAGTAGCAGTAGTAGTACAACAACTGCTGGCATCATTATCTTCATATGTTTGTTTTAATCACGCCCAATGAAATGAGAGCAAAATCAAACATGCAGACAGACAGACAGATAGGAGTATGTCACGTATACACACGAGAGAAAGAGGTAAGATTTTCAGTTATGTATATAGTCTACAAAGTCTATCATAAATGAAATGTATTCATCATTAGGACGACAGTCTAAATACAATAATAATGTAAATGTAAACCAGTAGAGCAGAATAACACCACCCAATTGTTTATAAGAATAAGTGAAAAGCTTAAATACATGTATACTGGATGCTTTTGGAAGCCTCTGTACAGAAAGGAAGGTGTCTGTGTAAGGAGTACATTGTGTAGGAGGAAGAATAGAAGAAGTAGGCGAGTAGACTTACAAACAATCAAGTTTAACAAATAAAGGCTGCTGAATCTAGACGAGCAAACACACACACACACATAAATAAATGAAAGACTGCTAAAATTAGACAGAGTTTAGAAAAAACAGTACCATGAAATTGAAAAAAAAATGTTGTTTTTTTAACAAGCAGACACATACAGAGATCTAGAGCACAAACACACACACACACACACATAGAAGAAATATGAGGAAGAGGATGCAGTGTGGAAGGCAATTGAGGTATAAATATGTTATTCTATGCAGATGGACGAACAATAAGTATGGGGTTGGGTGTTAAGAGATATGGACAATTATAATAATAGGTAATAATTAATTTTTAAAAAAAGATGGCAATCAACAATTATCGTTATCGTCATTATCAACACATCATCATCATCATCATCATCATCATCACCATCAACAAGAACAACAACAGCAAGGCAATAAATCTGACTAGTTTTGATCCACACACACACACGCACACGCATTAACAATTCGAAAAACGGCATGATTGTAATTAATAAACACATACACACTGGATCACAGAATAGTCATAGGCACAGCAAGAAAGAATTAACTAGTAGAAAAGAGGACAAAAAAGAGGGAGAGACGGAGCAGCATATGTGTGAATGAGTGAGTGAGAAAGTATAATGCGATTTCTTCTCCTACATATGTTCATCACACTGGTAAAAGTTGAGCATAATAAGAATAATGTTGTGTTTTCTTTCTGTTGAATTCGATAATACTTCTCTTACTACTTTGTGTGTGTGTATGTCATTAATTGTCATAAGTTTAGCTGCACTGCAGACGCATAAATCTGAAAGCACAAGCGGCGCGTTCAGACTGGAAGACATCCTTCCGAAGGAATGAGATTCCGCAAAACAACAACAACAGCAGTCATACACTACTTCTACTACTTATTTCCGCATACGGTTATTCCAAAACGAGAGATTTGATGATTAGGCTTCTTATTGCTATTGTTGTTGTTGTTATTAATGGAATTTAAAGCATAGAACTGGCCGTTATTATTATTATTCATAGTAGTAGTATTATTCCAATTGGTGTGCATATCTGATAATGCATTATACTGATTAGATGATGAGGTCAAACCATCTGAACAAGTGTTTAGAGACTGAAACGAGAAGAAAAATAATAACAAAAAATATGGTTAAACAATTCATACTATTACATATATACGCATATATTATATATACATACTACACGAACAAACTGCAGATGATTTCTTAATTCCCCGTTAAGTGCAAAAACTATTCAACTGACCCTAGAATTAAACAATTAGCAGCAAATACTTACTGAACGACAGCAAGCAGAGAGAAAGAAAATCTTCTAGGACAGACTTGACCCCCTCCCCCGCAACACACACACGCATACACACCAAACACATATTCTCGTTATTTATTCACACATAATAGGTCAGAATTCATGCGAAAAGTTTTACTTACTGCATACTCTCCAATATAAACACACACACACAAACAGGCTATTTACGACTACTCTTACTTAGAAATCAATCAGTTCAACAACAGGGATGGTGATCAAAACCTTTTTGAATAGATTCAAGAGAGGAGGAGGGAGGAACTGGCGGTGACAGGAAGCTCTTATAACTAGAATCAATATTTTAAGTCAATTAAGGCTACTGTTGAGGAAGATTTTTGTCTCAAATCTAAATTAACATTGTTACGTGGACATGATAATTTCTTTTTACTGGACCAACATTCTGACCTCACATCGAATATTTGACCGTATATAACCAATGGTTTATCTAGCATAACCTTTATATGCATGTTGTCTAATAAAGTTGTTTCCACAGTCACAGATGTCAGTCTTTGTCACAATAAAGTAGGTGTACTTGAGAATGAACAACAGTCGTCTTCACTAATCACAGTCGAGTTGATGATTGAGTTGTTGTTTAGTGTCAGTATACCGTTTTATACCCAAGTGTTAGTTAACTCTCTCTCTCTCTGCGGATTCAATACTTAAAAAATCCTAGAGCTTTATCATCACCGCTCAAGTGAAATGACACACAACACATTATCCACATGGGAATATATGATTCAGAGACTAAGGTATTTGTATTTGGCATTAGCCTGATACTGTCTGAACAGTTTGTTAATTAGCTAGTACGTAGAAATTAAATATCCACCATGGAACTAAATATGCACTACAGACATAAGAAAGTATATATAGGAAAATGGCATCTCTAGAAGCAATAAGGTATCTTTCATACAGTTGAAGATAACTGCACATTTTTATCCTTCCGTAACTCACTCACTTAGCAGCAGTATGGAGGTAGATATTTTCAGCCTATTAGAAGATATACACAATTATATGCATATAAAACTATGTACAATGAGAATGATTTATATTAGAAGAGCAATTCCCCTTTTTTTCTTTTGGATATTATTAGACAGAGGATCCAGTAAAGAAATATCAATCCCGTCAAATAGCTGCTAGCTTGACGTGATGATCAGACTGGCATATAGCAACTATCCAACGGGCTACAGAGACTGGAACGAATGCTCCTACAGATCCTCTACCATTCCAGAAAGTTAGTTTGGATTACGGTTAAACACAAAAAGCAGTCACCAATATCGAGTAAGACGGTCACATGAAGTTGTGGGTTTCTCCCTCTGGCGAGGAGTAGGGATGATAAAAGATCAACCCAGAAAATTGTACATCCCAACAGTCAGTTAACGGTCGTCTATAGCCGGCGGTAAGACCCGAGCACGGAAGCAACTTTAAAAACTACTCCAAAAGGACCGTGTATGACTGGCCTTATGCAATCGCGCCCTCGAGCTCTGTGTGGTCAAGCAACGCTAACGCTACCTAACCCTTATTTTAAGTACCCCATGATGAAATCAACTTCCATTGTGTGGGGGCCAACTGGGAAGTCAAAACCAATAGTATATTTTCATAAGCATGTGAAGCTTTCTTGGCTTTATATTATCAAGGCTCTATGAATACCGTATATTTGAGTTGTTCAAGTGGATATGTCCATAAAAAGATGCCTACTGAAGTGCTAAAAGTGTCAGTATACGCGAACATACCTAGGTATTATACATGATAAGTAAATAAAAAATATTGCTAGGAAAGAGAAAAACACTTCAAAAAGGCATTTTTTTAAAATAATATTAAATAACTACTTCAGTGAATTAACGTACTATTTGTTGTAAGTGAACACGAGCATCCAAATCTGACAATGGTTCAAGAGCTAAACGATCACCGAAAGTTTTAATCAATTGCATTGTCTCTTCCATAGTATGAAGGCGAATTAATACACTATTTGTATTTGGATTTAGAACATGAAAACTTGTCAGTTTGAAATGTGTTGATAAAATATTCTGTAGATTATGTATGCTAGGTCCAGGCAATCCTATCAGTGGTTGTACTAATAACCATTGACCTTGCATCTCATTAGCACCGTGAAGATTACCTAAAGAATTATTTTTTACCACCGGAAAATTTATGTTATTGTCTAAATTAGGACGAATTTGACAGTTGTTGCTGCTGTTATTGTTATTGCTATTATTATTATTACTGTTGCTGTTGTTAGCTTGCTGGTGCTGCTGCCATTGAGCATGATTGGTGCGCATTGTGGGATTAGTTGTATTGTTGACTGATGTTGACCATGTAGGTGACCAGTTATTACTACCACTGCTATTATTATTATTATTAGAAGCTTTGCCGGTTGTTCCAGTACGCGAAAAATGATTTGACTTTGAACCTACAGAGACATCAATTAAAATGGAGAAAAATATAGAGAGAGATTTATTCAGTGAACTACTACCTAGCAGAAAAAAAACAAATGAAAAAATCATCAAAACAGTCAAATGACGACAAAGACTTGTGTGTCATTAATGATGTCAAATTACTGTAAATTATCAAAATAGAAGGTGTACACATCAACAGTTCACTGGTAGAATACCCGTATTTGTGGTATGGGGGTCCGATCTCCAGCCGACGTATTACATCACCTCGCCCAGCCATCATAAACTCGGTGAGGAGGGGAGGTCGAACGTAAGGCGAATCACTCCATTAAAAAAGGAAACACCGCTGTTACTAAAACTTCAAAGCTAAAGCTAGATGTTCTACTTTTTTTTCACTAAGAACGCAAAGGAATAAAGTTAAAATAATAATCAAAATAGTAGGAAGACTCAGCTAAAGATTTTTTTACCAACCAACACTAACGAATCTTGTAATCAGAAGGATTATGTGTACATGACACCCTTGTAATTGTTTCTAGTGCCAAATACTGATGATGACTACCGCTTATTGTGTGATATACCCAGTAGTTATCCAGTCCAGCTATCGGCAAAGGGTGGGTGTACTGCTCAGCAGTCCGCTCCGTCCTCCTTTATGACTGTGAGAGTTGGCCATTGAGAGCGGAAGACATGAAAAGATTAACTGTCTTTGATCATAGGTGTCTGCGTTCTATCTCCCGCGTGAAGTGGTATAATAAGGTGAGCAATATTGAGATTAGGCGTCGAGTGCTAGGTAAGGAGGGGAAATCAGTCGACGAAACGATGAAATTACTTCGACTGAGATGGTTAGGACATGTTACTTATGCCTAGTCATCGCCTTTCTCTCACATCTCTGTTTACTGTGTCCATTATGCATTTCTTCTACTTTCTTCTCTTGCTTTGTGTGCTACATGGAGTGTGGCGACTTGAACTGCCGCACATCGGTGCAAAGTTCTATGTCGAAAACAGACAGTAGTTATCCAGTCTACAGTGGACTGAGTATGATACACTGAATGCAAGTCAGGTGTTGAGGCCAGTAAGCCAAATCTCTATAGAATAACAGAATATAATATATAGCTCATAGGGGGGGGCGTATAATATGCCGAAACCTTGGATGTCACGCATCCAGTGTAGACGGAATGAAAATCAGTTCTTGACAAAAAGTATTGCACACTCTAGGTACAAAGAACAAAACTCACTCATTCACATATACATACATACAAAACACACATTATGAAAATAATTACAAATGGAGAAAGAATAGAAAGTACTAATACCTATAAAGTTCAAAACAGTTGTGCTTATTTGGCAAAGAATAAAGGCATAGACGGTTGACACACACACTAAATATTATCCAAAATCTATCAACACAAATGTTCAAAGCATTTTCCAGAAATGAAATCACAATATAAAGTCACTACACTTCATCAGAATCAATATCTACTCAACACCACCACCAGTGACACATAAACAGATGTCAATGTAGGTACATATATATGTCAGTTTTGAAAAACATTCAGTTGGGAAATATACCAAAATGAATCAATGAAGTGGAGAGAAATACAATCATAATTGTGGATAGCTGACTAACACACATTAGAAAAAAATAAGCACTTAAAAAGGTGTATTAGGAGGAGGAGGAAGTTGGTTAAGATCTTCGTAACGTTGTAGTACAAACAGATGCATTGTAGCTCCCCGCCGCCTTGAATGAAGTCAGCTTAGAGCTTCGCATGTATGAGCTCCAGTGATTACAGACAGTATCATTATGACTGTCACTGAATTCAAGCACACGATATGTAGTCTTAATCGTATTCAATTAACGATTTGCAGTTAAATAAATGTGTAATTTTCCGTTTTTAAACGACTATGCCAATGTAACTTTGCCAAGATGCCCCTCGGTGGTCCGGGATGCAGGCTTCAAACCTATAGCCGACTGGCGTTGGAGCGGTTCGACTCCGCCTTCTCAGTGTATGCAGGCGGGCTTTTGTGCGTCGATGGCACAGCGGTTAGGACTCTCACCGACTATGCACATGGTCCGGGGTTCGATCCCCTGCCAACGCACACCCGATATCAATGATCGGCCTGAAAAATTGGGCTACGGATATCACATGCTGAAAATTCCATACTAGTAACAAAATACGGTGTGGAGCTATAATAAAAAAAAATAAGACTTAAGTTGGGGAGAGATATCGTGGGTACGGTCATCCTCCTTTGTTAACTAAAAAAACTGAATAGAATTCGCAGGATAGATCTGATGAACAACTAGGATCATAAGAACAACAACAACAGTATATGTTGCACAGTGGACAATAACAAAAGTGATGATTATTTACAAAGGGATATATACTACTAACTGCTTGAGATGAGTAGTTGCGGTGCCAATACCACTTGCATCATCACACCAATGGTGCTGCTACTTATCAGCCAGTCAGATCGACATGATCAATAAAATACTGAACGACCGTTTTGCTCGTTTGGGGCCGAAGTCATCAGTGGTGTATCCATTTTAACTGGACTCAGAGAGTCGAATCACTTGTAACTGACCGATTTCCAGCTGGCTGGTTATATCTAGGCGAACTGGTGATAACATAAATCAAATTTTCAATTTTCTAAGAGTTTAGATTGTAACCACTGTACAGAGAAACGCTGCACAAACTCCAGTAAAGATTCGACAATGCTTTAAGACACTAAAGATGGAGAATGTTTATCAAGGCACACACACACACACACAGAGGAACTGATGTGTACCGCCCTGGATGACTAAATTACTTGAAAAATACTTGTATAATGATAATTAACAACGTAAAAAACATACAAATACTAAGAAGATATCGTAAACCACTCCACAACCACTTGGATATATCTATGCCACTGGTAATACACCGCAGCAATCGTATGGGGGGGGGTAGACAGACAATGATGCGACCTAGCGGTCTAAATCACGACTAAAAAAGAAGCAGGATTCAAACGCGTAACTCAAAGGGATTTCAACCTGAGTGTTGATTACGCTATACATCAAAATTTATAAAACTCTACCCACCTGGACCATCTGTCAAGGTTTTATCGAAATTCTCCCCACAATTTGGTGAAGGAGACATCCATGTACCGATAGCAGGAAAAGAGTTATCGGCAACATCAGTACCTAGATAATAATAGAGAAAATAATAAAATGAAATATATTGAATGTGTTACATACAGGAAGTAAAAAAAGTACAACTTTGAACTTGTAAATTACAAGTTAGAACATCGCGCTTTAACGTTATTAGCTCTAAGCAATCAAAGTGTGAGAACAGCATAGCTACAAACAATATTAGACTTTGTTTCAAAGTAATTCCAATGAATAATTCTCACTCACTCTCATGTACGAGAGCAGTCCATGAAAGATTATCGTTAAGAAAAATTAAGTTCCGATCGTTAACTGAATCATATCAATTATATTATGACTGACAGCCCCATCTATTAATAAGTTCTGCAGCTATCTGGAAACTTTTATCATGACTTTAAAAACTAACTCTATCGACTTACATTTCCATTGCGCAAAGCATAGAATGCATTAAAGTTACAAGATAAATCCTACGTAAGAGTGAGTTGTGCGTGGGTAAGCATAGCGGTAGAATGCTAGCCGACCACGCAGGTGGTCCGGGGTTTGATCCCCGGCCACAGACGCACTCTTTTACCTTGCTAAGCCAGTAGTAAGACTGGTAAAGAGGGAAGGTTGGGCATGAGGCTAGCAACCCCATCCCATGTTCCACTGGGAACGTAAAGGAATAAAAAAAGAGTGAGCTGGTGAATCTACGCCTGAAAGGCATGAAACAAGTGCAATAACTCAAATGTACAGTAAAACTAAGTAACATTTCACAACGTTGCAGATCTAGAAACAATAGCTGTCAGCGCAATAATTTACCATCATTCTTGTCATATTAATATCGTCTCACTTAACAATCAAGCATAGACATTTCTATGGGAAAATACCTAATGACACTTACAACTTTACCACAGCACTCAGATTATGAGTGCTGTTAGTGTACAAACATAATTATCTAATTACTTGTCATTATCATGAAACCAAGTTTAGTTGCTTGAGACAGTTGACTATCAACCGAAACATATCACACTCGTTGAGGGTTTTTCAGCAAGCACTAAAATAGACCCTCAACCACTCTGTAACCAGTTTGACTAATTATATATATATATATATATATATATATATATATATATATATTCCCTATGCACTATACTTACTGTCTCTAAAGTTGTAACTACATAGTGAAAACCAATCTGTTTCTTTTAAGAGGCATTGAAGAAGTTATAATAATTGAACCTGACTTACCATTTGGTGGTAACAATGGTGGCCGTACCACCGATTGTGCTCCTGGTTCTTGTGTGCGAGCTAAATTAAGCTGTGCGCGTTTTGCGTGAAGTTGAGTCTCGATTTGCTGCATCTGACCCTGTAGCTCAACAAACACATCAGCATACTGAGGTTGAGAACGAAGCGCCGGGTTATTATGATATACTGTCAATTGATGCTGAATGCTCTGTAGATATTGTAAAAATCAAAACAGAAGATGGTCGTGATAAAATTCAAGATAACCTTACTAACTCATTAGGTTTTGTATGTAAACAGGTTGCTTCATATATATATATATATATATATATATATAAGTTGTGACCAGTCGGGTGTGAGGACAAATAGTCGCCGAAGATATTGGTTACTGGTCGCGCCATGTCGTGAATTGGCAGAAGTTGGAATTCATGGGCCATTAGCGATCGGGTCACAGTGGCTTAATGGTCTACGAGCTAGCTGGCCTTGTAACCAGAAGGTCCTGGGTTCGGACCCCGGTGGGTGGGTACTGATGAAGAGTCCCAAACTAGGACGAAACAGCTATCCAGTACCAGCAGGTTTTCCAATGGTTCTTTAACCGATGTCAGCTCATAATGAAATCCTGTAACCAACCAATCAAATCCCTACAAACCAACACTTGAATATATATATATATATATATACACTATAAGACAGGTTTTGTGCGTTAATGGTAAAGCGACAGCCCCGGGCTTCAACTCCCGGCTGACGCACTTCTAAGCCTCACCTAGCCGGTAACAAGCTAGGAAAACAGAAAGCATAGGGCGGGCATGAAACTAACAATCTCACCGCACAGAAAGAAACAACCACTACTGAAACACTTTAACGCTTCACACCTGAACCCCTATATGTTCCACTGGGAATGTAAGGAATGAAAAAAGGGGGGGGGGAAAGCATAAAATGAATCACACACCGACAGTATATAAATATTCTACTTATAAAAACTATGCCAAACTAGGTAAAGGTAAAATGACGGACAACAGGAAGCGGCAAGACTGTGGAACCTGCCTTGGTGCTTTTTTTCCTCATACTCTCAAAAGTAAAGCACATAGAATAAATGTCGATAGTACACAACTGTCATTCCAAACATCTGTATTTCATTGCTCCTTGATTCAAAAGGAGACATAGTAACGCATTACCAGTATAAATAAGGATAAGAGAACTGTCTTTAGATTTAAAGTGAATTTGTCCTCTAATCTTTTCTTTTCAATTGACTTTCTGGATGAATAGGTAGGTAGAACAATGTAGGAGCCATGCGCATAAAGATGCATCAGTGTTCAGTTCTAAAAAAAGTCGACTAAAGTCCATTTGACACAATTAAGGCGACCAAAATATACGCTTATATGTAAGGATGGCTGCAAAAATGGCACAAATATGACTTTTAAAATCAATTATGAACTCACCTGATGTTTCTTTTGCAAATCAATTATTGAGTTAATGATAGATAATTGACGAGGTGACCGTTTAGCTGGATTTTGGTTAAAAGCTGCTACTGACCCAATTGGTGTGCGATTATTATTAGTATTATTGTTATTTAGATTACTGTTAATATTCTTAGCAGGACCTAGAGTTGTTGTAGGCGGTAAACCACCACCGCCACCACCAGTGAGTGGATGTGCGTTATTCGTAGACGGTGGAATTGGAGTATTCAGGTTAACATTTGATAAAGAAGGCGGTGGTGGTTGACCTAAAAGTGAACCACCACAAGTACCTACTGAACTATTTCCATTTATTTGTACACCCAATGGATTCGGTAGTGGAAGATTTAATGCAGAGCGAACCTTCAAGAGAAAAAGACAATTTATACATAAGTGAGTTGTAGTAAAACAGGCAAATATATTTCACAACATAGAAATTTATGAACTAATGAGTCCATTAGGCTGATATGAAAGGTAGCCTAGCCAATTTGCAACTTCGAGTTATGGAATGACGCGTATGTCAACTGGAATTCACATCAATCAATTCTAATCTGCCATTGGTTGTACATATTGTAGCAGCGTGAAACCTGCATAATATGTGGTTAGAATAACTTATTCATAGGTAAATTCTTTAGCTATATTTATCTACTAATATTATAAAACACGTGATCTAATTAGGACGAAAGATAGTTTACTACTTCTTTGACATCGACCTACGATAATTAGCCTCCAGGTCACATATTTTAGCCAACTGTCAGTTGCAGTCGTAATAATAATTAATGGATATCTTAAGAGATCTGTCTTGAATAATTAAAAAAAAAAGAGCAAATAAAAAAATAGCTAAACGCTGAACAACTCAAAAGAAACTCTTAATTTGTCTCCTACTTAAAAAAAAGACACAATTTCTCCGAAAATGGTTGTGAGCATCAAAAATATAAATGAAAAAAGTTACCCTACAGCTAAAATTGCAGCTATACACACACAAGCACAAAAGACGCCGTGATTACTATGAATTATGTAACCGAGTCAAATAAAATGCTTACAACTGGACTCATGCATACAGAAAAACTTTATTCTTTAGCTCCCATGGTAATTTGATTTTCACTTTGTGGTGAGTTGAATGCCTTATATCCTTCTTTATTCTATCCATTTCAACCCAATGTACTGAATCCAATCATCTTAAGAACTCTGATATTTCCTTACTAGATTATGGTTTCTATGTCTTTCTTCTAACCCTCATCCATATACACTTCTCCTTTAGTTGAACCCATTCACTTCACAGGACAAAGTTCTAGGGAAAATGTACTGTCTAGTGCATTTTTAATGGAAATGCAAAAAAATTCACGTGGGCAGACTTCACACTAATGTGTACATATCTCCACAGGTGTACACTTTGATTACAGAATTGCTGAATCTCAAAGTGATTCAAAAGGGTATGTTTATTAGACCCTCGGTTAAAATCAATACAAAACAGGTTGGTATCAACGTAAGACTACTTAATCAACAAGAAATAATGTAAAACATGTATATATATAGGCTCCATAAATGATCTTGCTACTGTCAACGGTAGGTGGACTTCAACCTTTTCGAAATACTCAAGTGGCCACGCGTTCATACCCTCTGATAGGTAAGTCTTATTCACTGCCTTCACGCAGTGGAAGTAGAGGGTTCTTTACAGAAGTGGAAGGGTGAATGGGAACGCCTGGGGCTTACAACCGGACTGGTGGTCTACCAAGTAAAGCTAGGAAACCCTATGGCTGGATTCAACATAGAACTTGGTACCGAAGTGCAGCAGTTCGAGTTGCCACGTTCTAAAGCTTATTTGCACTATAGGGTTTCCTATAGTGCAAATAAGCTTTAGAATCCCAAGGATCGAGTGGTGTATGAACCTGTTTTAGTCATCGACAACCATGGGAATGCAGCCCCACTACTCTGTGAAGACTTCAAGTCAAAGGCTCGATGGGCGGCCCTATTAGACAACCACCTGCTTTGATTTGAGCTTCCTGATAGATTATCCCAGCTCCCGCACAAACTATGAGATTTTGTGTGGTGAAACACTTGGTTGTCTATAATGTACCAAGTTTGTGTTGTAATAAATGATAGCATATATATATATTACCTGTTGAGTGATCTGTTGTCTCATTAATTGAGAATTAGGTACTGGCTGCATAGACGACAGTAATTGGTTTGTATTACTTTGTGTAGTAACACATGGTCCTGACTGCTTTAAACGATGATTTTGTGCAGAAGGAGTCGAGTTATTTCCTGAAAGTGATAACTGAGATAATGAAGTATCATTCGACAATTGATGCATTGGTCCATTTCTTGTTCCTGTGTGCGATGATGATGATGATGCACCATTAACTCCGTAATTACGATTAATTTCTGAAGGTTGTGTCATGGTCCTATTGGTGCTGTAACGCTCACGTAATTCAGATAAGGCTTTTTCTGGCTCCATATTACAAGCAATCAGTGCAGCATGTGCATCCTCTTTCTTAAAACCTTGACTCATTAAATATTTAACTAGATCAGCACGGTAAGTATTGCTGTATGGATGAACTTGTAGTCGATCCTGTGGGAAGTTGAAATACATTATGCATAAAATATGACTTGTAGGCTATTGAAATGTATAAGCGTTAGCAAAAATATTATTTTAATATGAAATAAACTGATTGATAGTATTGTGGTGAGAGCTGGCTGCTAGCCAAAGTAATTTACGTCAATGTTTATGTCCCCAATATTGGTCGTGAGAAAAATGAGAACAAAGACTTTGCGTAGGCGGATACAGTTAGCATATAGATAATCTGTCGCCTGGCCCTTGTCTTCTGTTGTTACAGTATGATCGGATGATTGCTATTTTGTAACAATTGTCCTTCCTGTGACTAACCATTAAACCCATAATGACAGAAACGATAACACCATGCATTTCTTAGAATGCCCAAAGGTTAGGAATATGATCTCATGGCATAGGGATGGTATACCATGTGACAAAAAGGTAGTCATTTTTCAAGAATAACCGACATTACTGGTAAAGACTAAACAGTATTGTGAAGAAACAGCTCAAACACACGACCTCCAGCTAGGTCATGCTCCATCTACTTTCAGTCTGGAAAAATTGGTAGTACCATCAGTCCTCACACTCAATATATGGCTGGTGGTCTGGTGTAAATGAGCTAATACTCTATGGCCAACCTGGTGTTGTAAGCACTACAGCCTACAAAATCGAAAGATTTGAAAAGCAACAAAACTACTACTAGAATTAGCACAACTTAACTATGTAAATGCTTAGGACTGCACTACATTATTTTGCCTAACTTCCCATTTGTATAGCCGTGAAATATGGCGTTTTCAAAGACTTTATCTTGGTATTATGGTGGTCTTGTGGTGAGAGCTGTCTACTAGCCAAATTGGTAGACAGTAATTTACGTCAATATTTACGTTCCCAAGATTTGTCGTGAGAAAATGTGAACAAAGATTGATTCAAAACCGACCACAGCAGACTTTGCGTAGGCGGATGCAGTTAACATATAGAGGATTTGACATTCAAGGAACAGTCACAAATAGATGAGATTAACTTTACGTGAGAAACAACCAATCGGAAGACTGTGTTTGTTTGTTTAAATATCCATAGTAATGTACATGAAATATATAAATATGCGTTGATTTCCTTAATAAATGATCTGTTGCCTGACTCTTGCCTTCTGTCGTTACAGTCTCTTTGCCAAATTAACTCCCAACTTTCATCCATTACGTTGTGCGTCTTGACCTTACAAAACCTGGTCTGACGTATAGGACTGAATGGTAGTTAGCATAGAAGATGCCTCATAAATGGGAACGCTTTGTTATCAATATATCCACATCTCGATAAGATGTCATCATATTAATACTTTGTGGGGAATCATGACTTATTTATCATGGTATGATGGAGGATTAAAAACCAGTCGTTTTTAAATGGTGATCATAAATATAGTAACAAAAAAGTAAGCTTACAGATCCCTGAGTAACTGAAATTGAACCCATGTAGTTATGCTGACGTCTGATGTCGTCTGAAGCAGAAGGCAATTGTGTTTGCATGGAATTAAGTAAACCAGAGTTTCCTGGATTCCCCCAATTTGCACCAATCATACTATTGGATGAAGTATCCCACGAAACCATACCACCGTTTGGATTTATATTAGATCGCATAAAACTTGAATCACCGTCCCAAGTATCAACCTCTGGTTGGTTATGTGTTGAGAGTATAGGTCGAGTTCCACCGAGCACCGGGCGACCACTGGACGGATGAACAGTATTCGCACTATTCCAAACGGCTAAATACACGGAAAAACAACAAATAACTCTGAGAGTAGGCTTTAAAAAAATGAATAGGCAAAGATAATTTTTGACAAATTTCGGTGGAAATCGACAACTTCAAAACAATCAGAGTGAGCACACCATTACTAAGCTAAATTATGCTAAGGTACTTTCAACTTTTACACTGAGTTCTAAGGTGTTGAGAAATATCTGCGAGTGAAACGTTATAAGAAAGCGGTTGAGTGACCTTTAATACCATAGAGAAGAAAATATGATTGTAACTGTGCCTCGTAATTTGTCCATCACTGATGAAATACTTCGGGAACATAGCAAATTTGTAGAATATTTCGTGAGAATATAAGGAATATGGAACTATGGATGAAGAAAAATCTGCCATGTGGAATGACACGGGAAAGCTGAACGGCTTGGATTCCAGCACTCGTGTGAAGCATGGTTGGAAAATATTAGTTTGTTACGGTTGTAATTACTCATAGAAGTAGCTCTATTTTCAGTGCTCAAACACTGGTTTGGTACCAGTACGAGCGCTATGATATAGAACACAGCAATACATAGAAACAACAAAATGTAGTTCGAGAATAATGGAATAAACAAATAATCATATTGCATTCAAGAGAGACATGTAAACCACAGCATGAATCAATGATTTGTGGAACGTAAATGCTTACCCTTCGGGCTATACAGTCATACCCCGGTAAGAGAGTCATGATACGCTAACACAACTATCCTTTACATCTGGACGTCATATCACGGGTCACCATCCCTTTTCCTATTCACGGTTTTCGAACAATGAATACTGACACTTATGCAATTTTCACTGCACTGCTTTAGAGTTACTGTGAAGGATGGGTGTGGATTTTCGACCTATTCTTTCACTTAAAATCTAATCTAGATGACAGAGAACAAGACCTATCGGCTGCACTATCGTATTTGCGGGTGTCCACAACAGATATATAAGTATTCTGTTCCCTGTGAATTCTACAAACGGTATGTCAAGTTAAAAAACACTGTGGAGTTTCCGTACCTACCAATTCGATTATAGGCGGCACACATTTGTATCCATCATCTTAATTTTGTGAGAATAAAAGGGAGCTTAGAAACTTGTTTACTGACAGATTATACCTGGAATATCCGACGTCGGAATAATTCCGAAAATGCAATGGGGTTATGTTCATGAACACTGACTGACTTTGCAAAGCTTCAATTTTCATTTCCACAATTCACAGATAACCAAATATTAAGTGTGAGACGGAATACTTCAGAGGATTAAGCTGACAGATCGAAGACAGGAGCAATGGTTAATACATCAGTCGTACAACATAAAAACAATACGCTAATTGGCCAGGTTATTCTGATTTCACCAAAAACAGCACATATTCAGCACTTACCTTCCGGATGGGAAACAGTCACTGGCTGTCTTCTATGCAACGCACTTCCACCGAGTTGGTCTTCAGTATCTGTGACACCTATAGGCGCGTTCCACAACAAATTGTTGCGATCGGGAGGGCCTGATAAGCCGATATTCCAGTTCTTAGACAATCCTAAAGAACAGAAAAATTGGAAATATTACAGCAGTAGCACATACAGTAACAAATAAAATTATTAGGTCATGGGAAAACTCTGGATAACTACACTGAAACTATGTGTTACTCGGCCCCCACATGTAACGGCAAATTACATCAACGTATTTTTAACTGTTTCGTTTCCATATACATCAGTAAATGTTGAAAGTAAGACAAACCACTTAATTTTCCAGGCAAAAAAGTCAATCATGAGTCAGAATTATCTTTAAACTAGGTTAAAATTTCGAGACTTACTACTCTCATTATCTTCCCATTCTCGACAATCACTAGAACGATTATGCTGCAGTTGTGGAGCAGGTCGAGGATTAATATTAAGACTAGAATTCATCATATGGTTAGGGTTAACTTGAGCAACAGATGGCATGTCACGAAAGACTGAAGACTGTGACTCTGTTTGCCAAGCAGCTGAACGACCACCTAGGCTTTCATAATGCATTTCCCATATCCCTGTCCCTGTTGGTGGTTCACTAGTCCATACATTGGAATCGGATGTGTGAGCTTGTGAGGGCATCTTGTAATTCCCAGACAAATATCCAGAAGAGCAGGCACCTGGTGTAGGTGTCGTAATACCACTACGATTTATTTGGTCATTCAACTTTGAATCCAGTGGTTCCCATGGTGTTGCTTGGTCAATAGGTCTTCGACCCCAACCTTCATTAGTGTTGATTAATCGGTCACATAATTGTTCTGTTGAAAATGCCTGATTTGTCGATTCATTTTCATTGGCAGAGCCTATGGCTGTTTTAGTATGAGCAGCTGGAAAGAAAAAAAGTAAACCGTTAAATACACTTTTTTATGATATAAGTCAAGATTCAACTACATTTAAATGCACAAAACCTCATCCTATATTTTTGAGGTAGTTGTATTTGACCCCTACCTCATTCCCATGAAGTTTATAATACGACTGAATACAATTCATTAAACTCTGAACAACCACCACCTTTAGCTTGAGCATATCTGCAATGATTTAATTAAGCGGCCGAAGCGTTTACAGAAAACAAGTTGACGGGCATTGAAACAACCATAGTTTGCTGCATTTAAGAACTACGAAAGAAACAATGAAGAATAAATCACTTAGGTGATTTCTGCAGACATGTTTCAGATGCAAAGTAGGCCAGAGGAATGGTGAACAGTAAATCACTCCTTCAGTGACTGGTTACTTCGCCATCGCTAGTTTCCAACACTCAGCATCTCTCGATCTGAAGGTCATTCGAACCTAGAGATAGATGTTGCGATCATGTTAAGCCCAGAGGAGTAGTAAGAAAGTATGTGATGATGAGCAACACAATCTACCGAGGCATGTGTCCGAGTTATGTTAATGGTGTTACGAAATGACAACCAGTGTCCATATTTAGCAATATGATCGATGGACTTGTTGATTTAAATATCTTGATTGATTTTTACTGAGAGGCATAGTTCATCTAGGGCACGCTGATGGAGACCCCGACAAGAGTTAATGTACACTGCAACAAGTAATTAGCTGCTGCAGGACTGGGCGACATTGACTCACTGTTGGAAGATAAGATACTAGTGGTTGCGCTTTTACTACTTCATTTATTGGGAAGTTTACAGCACTAAAAGTGGGTTACTAGTGAATTGGAAGAATCATAGGAAGACAAAGTGATCTTGAAAATCCAAACAGATAGTTGCATCGTGGAAGGAATCCGAAGCAGAAATCTGTGTTTTCCTACCAATAAAACAACAGTTGGTGTCCCCGAGGACAGTTATTGACTAACGAACGGAGTGAGCACTCCTTATAATTGCCACTGAGATATATTCATCGTAAAATGAATCAATCAGCAGATTTTGTTGACCCAGAAACTTGTACTCATGCGAACCAAATAGGATTTTAGATGCATTTAAGGAAGAGCAAGGCTGTCATCAGATCTCAGGGGGGAAGTAGTATTCGGTCATTTAAGCAGGTTTGCTGTACATAAGTTGCTGTCGTGTGTTAATGGTTACTTCCAAATAGATTGCGAAGAATCTTTGCACCATATAAGAAAATCTTACTGACTAGTAGCTGTTTCCATTATTAATATACATTAATAGACTTTCCTGCACAAATGTGTGCTTTTATTGGATTGTGTTGAATAGCTGTTGATGGTCGCCGACTTCGGTTAGCATTTCTTCATAGTCGCCACGAATTCTGTAGTAGCCTTCATTATTTGTCTAGTCTAACAATGAACTTAAGGCCTGTATATTCGTTAACTTATAGTTGGATAGTTTAACCTCTTCGCTCACCTTCAGTTCCAAACCAGAATAAGACACTTATCCTCGCCTTTCGTTTTCACCGATACATTTACATCAAGTAAAATAAAACTGGATAGGCGTGACAGACACTTGTCGACATAGCTTTGAAATGACCAGCCACAGTAAACCGGGGCCGGTGTCACTTAAGAAAAACATTCTCTGTCACTAACCTGTAAAACAAGTAGACACACTAATCAATAGTAACTCATACTAGGTTCAAAGCATCAGTTAAGTGCTAGGTTAGCAAACTGAATCCCAGCACTTAATATTGGAATGGTAGGTAACCGGTAACCCGGTCAGAAGTGATCATGCGAAATCCATAGTAGTATATATCAAAAAACAAAAACAAAATATAGGACTTTCGAAAAACCCATAGGAATACTTTCCACGTATAAGAAATTCGGATTACGGATACCCTTGTAAAAACACACTTGTCTGAGAGGATTTAGTGGAGTGCATAATGTGTGTACTTGCTCACTTACTTGAGTCGTCAGAATTTCTGGGCGTAACAGTTAATCCAGAAAGCATTGCGGTAACGTCGGGGAGGTTACTATTACTATTGTTGTTGGATTGAGGTAATTCCAAAGTCCTGTGACTGTTAACGAGATCAGAATCGCCGACAGTTGTAGGTGCATCTGTTGGTGATCCAAGACACTGAGGATGGTCCAGCTTCCAAGAATCTAATTCATTAGTAATTCTAGGCATGTGAAATATTGGGTCATGGGATGAATCCCATATCTACAATACTAATAAAGAAAAAGAAAAGTAAGAACCTACATCTTCTGAAACAAGTGGGTCATTTTGATTGGTTAAATTTCCCCATAATGGGTTGGAAGCTCCTGAAGGTTTCATCTCCGATGAGTGCAAACCACTTGACCAAATAGACATTTTATTTGGAGGTCGCAAAAGAGGGTTGTTTGGTGACCAAGAAACTGCAAATAATTAGTACACAAATAACTTACGGGAATTTGTACTGTCAAATTTGGAATCTCCAGATAATTTTTCTGGTTGTTTATTAACAGTTGAAAGACCTAAGATTGTCAGAAGTGAACACAAATGTTACCTAGGCCACTAAGTTTTGAATGAGCAAGAAATGGGCCTGAATTTAAGGGCCAAATATCATTATTGATTAGTTCCATGTTGCATCCACTATTCCATGCACCAAAGTTAAAGAAATTGAGCTGGGAATTGTCTTCTGATTCTGACATCTATGGCCAGCACGAGTATAATTGTAAACAATATGTCTTACCGAGACTTGAGTATAGAGTGTACTTAAGGATAGTAATAAGGAGTTTTTATCACATTACAGGTGAGGCGTCACAGCACTATCCATACTACTACCAAAAACCAAGACGAATCTACCAACAACTTTCAAGGACGAAACAAAATGGCGGCCTTCGTTCAGTATGGCCGGCTGTTTAGTGTAGCTAAACAAAGTACTGTGACCTTAATGCCCTAACCCTGTTTCTGATTTTATTCAAAAGAAAGAAGGGCCTTTCCTTGTCTGTTTTAAGGATTTAGCAATTTATTTCTGAACCTGATCATGCACCTCATGGGTTCCTTTCAGTTTACACGTGGTTGCACTAGTATATATACTTAACCTACTTTCGGCTTAACCTCCCCTAGATTACTAGGTCACTAGTATTCTAGCCGGTCCCAAGCCCGGATAAAGAGGGAGGGTTGGGGCGTGGTGCTAGCAACTCCATTCCCAAAACTTAACCAAATTGCTACTAAAACTTCAACGCACAAATATATTCAAAATTCTAAAATTACAAATAGTGACCTTATTTTTCGCTGGAATCGGAGAAGTGAAATGACGCGGGCTGGTGAAAGCCTTCGGGAAGCCAGTCAGGCGATGTGCCTTCTTTCGATGAAAGCGAAAATAAGGATGGGGACGTGGAATGTTCGTACAATGTACGAAGCTGGGAAGGCTGCTCAGGTAGCCGCAGAAATGAGGAGATATAAAATAGAGGTGTTGGGAATCTGCGAGAGCAGATGGAACGGATGTGGAAGGAGCCAACTATCAACTGGAGAGACAATAATCTACTCCGGTCACCCAGAGGACAATCACGAGCACACCGAGGGAGTAGCCATCATGATGTCACCAACAGCGGCTAAAGCTCTCATGCAGTGGGAACCAATCTCCTCCAGGATAATGACAGCCAGGTTCAACTCAAAAGGAAAAAAGGTTACAATCATTCAGTGCTACGCGCCTACAAACGCCTCAGAACATGAGAAGAAGGAGGATTTCTACAGTCAACTACAAACAGTAATGGACAACGTCCCAAAGAGCGATATCAAAATCCTGATGGGCGACATGAATGCGAAACTGGGAGGAGACAATACAGGAAGAGAACTCACCATGGGTCGTGAGGCCCTCGGTGAAATGAACGAAAATGGTGAACTCTTCTCAGACTTCTGCGCCTTCAATGATTTGGTGATTGGTGGCAGTGTGTTCAAACACAGGGATATACACAAGGCAACATGGATTTCACCAGATGGACACACCAAAAACCAGATAGACTTCATTTCAATCTCAAGGAAGTGGAGACGGAGCCTACTGGACACAAGATCGAGGAGAGGAGCAGATGTGGGTTCAGACCACTATCTGGTACAAGGGACTTTCAAGGTGAAGCTGAAAGCCTCGAGGATACCTGGGGATAGGCCACAATGCAAGTTCAACACTCACAAACTGAAGGACACAATCACACAGGACATTTTCACTGCAACTGTCAGAGCAAAGCAGGAAACACTACGTGGCACCACTGAGGAATCATCCGTGGAAGACCATTGGAACTCTCTGAAGGTAATTTTCAACGAAACGTGCTCAACGGTTTTAGGGGGAAAGAAGAAACAAGACAAGGAATGGCTCTCAGCGGACACTTGGAAGCTAATAGAGGAGAGGAGAAAAGTGAAAGAGAAAATGATTCAATGCAAAGATGGACAAGAGAAAGAGACGCTGAACTCAACTTACACAGCACTGGACAAAGAAGTGAAGAAGAGTGCCAGGAAGGACAAAAGACAATTCTACGACAACCTGGCTACTGAAGCTGAGAAGGCAGCAGGCAAAAGGGACCTGAGGACACTATATCAGATAACCAAGTCTCTATCCGGGAAGAGATCAACACAAGTGAAACCTATAAAAGACAGCCAAGGGAACCCAATTACCAAAGAAGAAAGACAGATTAAACAATGGGCGGACCACTTCAAAGGACTCTTGAACCGACCACCACCTACAACCCGTCCAGTAATACCAACAACAGCACGTACACAACTGCAAGTTGACACCAATCCTCCAACGAAAACTGAAGTCATGAATGCAATCAAGCTTCTGAAAGCTGGAAAAGCAGCTGGACCAGATGGAATACCCCCGGAAGCACTGAAAGCGGACCCAGAAACGACGGCAGATATGCTGACTCCATTATTGCAAAAGATCTGGAAAGAGGGAAAGGTGCCTACTGACTGGAGGAAAGGTTACCTGGTGAAACTACCAAAGAAGGGCGACCTGGGACTCTGCAAGAACTGGCGAGGAATCATGCTCCTGTCGACGCCAAGTAAAATCCTGAGTCGCATCATCCTGGAGAGAATCAAGGACGCACTGGATACAGAACTCCGACCAGAACAAGCTGGATTCAGGAAAGGCAAATCATGTTCTGACCAAATTGCAACTCTACGCATCATCATCACAGAACAAAGCATGGAATGGCAATCAAATCTCTACCTCAACTTCATAGACTTTGAGAAGGCCTTCGACAGCGTTGACCGCGAAGTAATTTGGAAACTACTCGAGTACTACGGCGTACCGCAAATATTCATCAACCTTATTCAACAACTGTACGACAACGGCACATGTCAAGTGATCCACAACGGAAAACTCAGCGAAGCGTTTGGAGTAAACACAGGAGTCAGACAAGGGTGCTTATTATCACCAATGATATTCCTAATTGTGGTGGACTGGATTATGCGTCAGACAGTGGGAAACGAGAAGACAGGGATATCCTGGGCCGACGTGAAGAACCTAGAAGACCTGGATTTTGCGGATGATTTATGTTTGATGTCACACAAAATCGAAGACTTACAAGCGAAAACCGACCAACAAACTGGTCGAAGAAGCAGCTAGAGAAGACAGGACTCCAGGTGAACATAGACAAGACGGAGGTTATGAAAATAACCAACCAACAACAGCAGCAACATCCAGTGCCAATCACCATCAACGGGAGGGATTTGAAAGAGGTTACTTCTTTCACTTATCTGGGGAGCATTGTCTCAACCACAGGAGGGACGGACGAGGATGTCAAATCGAGAATCGGGAAGGCGAGAAACGCATTCATCAACCTGAAACCAATCTGGAAATCTTCGTCACTCAGCATCAACAACAAAATTCGGATTTTCAATACAAACGTGAAGTCAATTTTGCTTTACGGATCAGAAACTTGGCGGGTCACCAAGAATATTTTCAACAGGTTGCAGACCTTTATCAACAACTGTCTTCGCTCCATACTGAAGATTAGATGGCCAGAAAGAATCACAAACAAGAAGCTATGGGAACAAACGAAACAGGAACCAATCGCCCAACAAATATGCAGGAGGAAGTGGAGATGGATTGGACACTCGCTGAGGAGGCCGTTGAGTGACATCGCGCGTCAAGCCCTCGAGTGGAACCCGAAAGGGAAGCGGCGAGTGGGACGTCCAAGGGTGACATGGAGGAGATCGTGTGAGGAGGAGATGAAACAGTATGGAATAACATGGACGCAAGTGAAAAGTGCAGCAGAAGACAGAAGCAAGTGGAGAAGTGCAGTTGAAGCCCTATGTTCCACTAGGAACCCAAGGGAACAACAACAACAACAACTTTCGGCTTAGGTGCATTATCTTGACTGAGAATGAAAACTATCTTGGATATCCTTAGCTATGTTTAGTTTTTCATGAAGTGACTCAATGGGGCAGTTACAGCTTCTAAAAGTGCTAGGTATGTCACACTCCCCATACCATCCTAGAACGGAGGGCTTGATCAAAAAGCATCTACATATTGAATGTGAGCATTTTTCCCAGCTTTCCTAAAATTTCTTCTCACAGTATTACCAAAATGTTTATGCTATTCATATAGTTAAAGCAAAAGCTAAACATAGCTGACATAAGTCTTTAACGGCCCGTAATCATGAAGGGATCAAGTGTTCACTTTCCGTATGTAGACCTTCAAACTTAACTTGCATATCCATTTTATTAATACTAACACTACTGTTACAAGGCTTGAGGTCGACGGATGATACAAACAAATGGACTTCATCAAGGACCGAATCGGAAAAACTCGAGGCATGTCGACTAGTGTTCTGAGGATATCTTAATTCAGCGGTTTGGTTTCCTTGATTTAGTAACGGTTTAGTACGCTTGTTTTTTTCCTTTAGTCGGCAAAGGCAGAAATTAAACGCCATGTACAAGGTCATTGATGGAGTGAGACGCTCCAAGGTCATTTTCGTCCGTGTTAGTCGGCCATGTTGAATTGCAGTTCCGTTGCTGTTCGTTTACACATCGATTTTTCCGTTTATCCAGCACTTATTCACCACGTATCTTGATGCACATTGTTTACAAATGTTGCATCTCACTTCATTATTGTTTCCGTTTCTGTTAAAATTAGTTATTTCGTTTGTTTCGAAAGTTTTTGCCACCAGGTCAGTGCATTCGTTTCATTGTAATTGTTTCATACGTTGCATTCATGCATGGTTTCAGTGTTTTAATTGTTTTTCAGCTATTAATGAATTAGTACTGTGTAGAAATTTCGGAGATTATGCACGTGAACATGTTTGGGAAGCATAAGCCATTGTTTCCAGTTCATTGTTGGTTGCCGTTATTGTTGCTGGCTCAGTTGGTTACTTAATATGTAGGAATCTGGAAAAAATGTCTCTCACGTTCATGTTTACAGCATGCAACAATCTACGAATGAATCCGGTGAAGAGAGCACCATCAGGGTTAATATTAGCAAAGTTTTCGAAGAACTAATTAAACCCAGAGAATTTAGAACCTGGTTTGAAGTTCAAAATGCTTTGGAGCTTTTCGACAAGGTGTCTGTTGTCAGCTTAAAAATCAGATATATTGTGAGAGAATAAAAATCTAGCAAGAATGAGCCACATGTGAAGTATGAGTGTGTGGTGTTTGTTTGTACTTTTGGAAGCAAAATTATAAAGCAATAGGAAATCCCTAAATGATTGTTGACGCCTAGTGTACTAGATCCAAACGCACGAACTAGGACTGCCTGTAGTAAACGCGGTGTTAACAACCATTTTATTTGTTTCAAAAGGATTTGAAAAGCGGCTAACGTACGATGATCTGCTGAGTGTT